TGCTCAAGTGCTGCTTCCAGCTGCCCTTCTCAGCTGGAAAAAGTCGCGAGGCACAGCGAAGGGGAAGGAAATTGGCGGCCTTCCCGAAGGGACGGGAACGGGCATTTGGGCAGGAGGGTTTTCGAAATCGGAAATCTCAAGAAAGCCGCCGCGTGAATCCAAGACTCGGAAGCACATCACCGGAGTCGAGGCCCGTTCGGGAACAGGCTAGGCTTATTGGGATGAGCTGGGCTTGGGACTTCATGGTGGGCTGCGTACACTGGATGCAGTTTGCGGTAGCAAACAAGAAGGCCTCTACGTCTCCACGGCTATCTCTACTAAATACCAAGAAGCCGAGAGAGAACGGAGAATGGATACAACGGATGGGGTCGGCCTGCAGGCCCAACCCCCAAGTGGGAGGCGGCCGCCAACAAGCTGGAAATCCCAAAAGCGGAACGAGGAACGCGCAGCTGAGGCCCCCGGCCCAGGGAGTTGTGCCACAGATTCAACGTCAGCCGCTCCAGCTCCTTTTGTTGGCCGAGGCCCGCGGCCAGGGCCCAAGCCCCGTCAGCGCCTGCCAGCGGAAGGGAGGAGAGGTCCGCGCGCTCCGGAAAGGGCCGCCGAGGCCAGGGCCCAAGCCGAAGTCGCGGAGCGTGAGGAGGAGCTCAAGTGTCGGGAGCTCTGGCAGGACCCGGCAGAGCGCGAAGAATTTCCGGTCGTCGCCTCGGTGTGGGAGCGCACGCCCGGTGGAGGGCCTGGGCCTGAGTCCGGGCCCGCGGCCGCCGAGACGGAGCTCGAGCTTCTGCGTTTCCTCGAGCTCTTTGAATTCTTGGTCCTGCGTGCGGCCGGCGGCGCCGGGGCCGCGGGCGCTGTCCGAAGAGCTCCGTTTACAGACCAGGAAAAACGAGCGATTGTGCCGAGCAAAAGGTGACTATACCAGGTCGTCTGTCGGGTGGGTGGTAGGAGGGGTTCCGCGTAGTTCCGGTTTCCAAGCTTCTTTGGGAGACACTTTGCCCTTCAGAACCCTGCCGTCGACTTCATTCGGTCGGACCCGAAGTGATGAAGAACTTGCCACGCTTCAGAGAGAGCACGCGAGCCTCCAACATGCACAGGAACTCCAGCGCCGGGTGGGTGACGTTCGTCACCTGAAGAGAAAAGGCAGACCCACAGCGACAGCCAGAGAAGAGGGGAAGCTGCGAGAGAAAGAGCGGGAAGAAGCCACGCCACGAGCTCTCGTCACCCCGCCTGGCCGGTCCGGACGGCCCTGGCCAGTGCCAGTGCTTCGGCCTTGCCCAAATCGCCCCAATCGCAGCCCGCCAGAGCGAGCTGTCGCTCCACCTCGCTTTTTTTCAGAACCTGCAGGGCAGTGCTCTAGACTCGCTGGAAAAGAGGGGTTTAGGGTTTAGGAAAAAGTTTCTGGGGTGGCTGTGTGCTTGCTGCAAGTACAACAGTAGCTGCCAGCCTCAAGCAGGCTGGCACCAGCAAGGCTCAGCTGCTTGAGGGCACGATTCTGCTTGATTGCCTGCACAGGAATGACGGGGTTTGCTCGCAGCCACAGCGACCCTTCCTTGCGGTGGAAGCCTTGAAAGGCCTGTACAACTTGTCCCTGGGCCTCGGCGAGAGCCATGATGCCATCGATGCTTAGGCGGGCGTGGCTCAGGTTCAGCTCGATCAAAGCGCTGTTTGTCCGCAGAGCCTACATGCAGAGTTGCAGGCATCGCGCTTCGGCTTCGGTCTGCAAATCTCTGAATCCGATCCCCGCTCATCTCAGAGCTTGAGGGCCTCGGCCAAAGCCTTGACATTAGCGACGCCGATGTCGTCGTGCCCGAGACTCAGTGCCGCAAGCGTCCCGTTGGACTGCAAAGCCAAGGCCTGGAGTGCATCGTTGAGCTTCCATGATGCATCTGTGCATCGGCAACTGCCGGTGGGCCTCGATGACCTGGCGAGTGCCCTCCTCAAGCAGCTCGTTCTGCTGCAGGTGGAGCTGCGGAAGCTTGATCTTCTCCAGGGCCTGCCGAGAAGTGGTTGGGCTGCGGCATGCTGCGGTTGGCTCACATGCAGAACACGGCTGAATTCGGAAAATGCACAGAGGAAGCGCAACGGCCTTCAGCAGCAGCGGGAGCTTCGGGCCGAGCTCACAGTGGACGATCTCCAAGCTCCTGAAAGTGACGACGGTCTAGACGGGAGGCCGCTTTAGCATTGACTGCGATAGCCATCAAGAGTGTCAGGCCTATAGCCCACTCCTTTGCATGCCGAGGCACTCCAGCACCGGGTAGCGCTCGAGAGCCGACAGGGCGATGTGGAGCGCGTCCGCACGCAAATCTACGAGCCTCAGGCTCCTGCATGTCTCTGCCTTCT